GGGGGGGGGGGGGGGGGGGGGGGGGGGGAGAAAGACTGGTTTATTTTTAACACTAGTAATTTTGTGTCAAAAATGTTACACTAAGCTTGCTAAAAACGCTGAGAACTTCTGTTGAGTTACCTCAGATCCATTTTCTGGTGAAAACCTGGACGTTGCTTCATCTTTTGGATATTTTCCTTGTCTGCCTTCTTGGCCAAGCACATTATTACTGTTCAAAATATAGGGAACCGGCAACCAGTGGGTTTTTAATAGTATTTTCCCCCTAAAATTGAACAAACTTGCAGGGCTGCTATAAAAGCTAAATAGAAAAGTATAATTATTACTGGCCTGGGGTGGAAAATTAGGGAGATTGTCCCTTGTTTTGATTCTATCCTAACCGAAAGTGGACAGTAAAACAATAATTGCAGCATTTTAAGGCAATGCTTCTCTCTGCAAGTTGCCAAGATTGAGAAACACTTATGTTAAGGGATCTTGAGCTATAGAGGAAGTAAAAGGGAAGCAAAATCCGGTGGTTCAGGCAATGTGTGTGTATTTCAGAGGAAAGTAGAAATGTCTTCAGGGATCCATTCCGGTGAAGTTCACAAAATTCCACCAACCTAAACAGCCATGAAACTGCCTTGATGTCCTCTTAATCCCATTTTAGCCATGTAGCTTACAAAATGGCTGAAATGGTAATAGCAACAATATGATTTCCCAAGATTCTGCTTTTTCTTGCATCCAGTCTTTCCCATTCTTGTCTGCCCATATGGGTTGAGTTAACTCTTGTAATCCCCTTGGGGGAATTGCAGATTTTCTTCTGCTATTTTGGCAACCCTTTTTGTTCTATAATTTGCTGTATTTCCACAGAATAATTAATTTCTTGAACGAGTGGTTGCAGTCCTAAGCACTCTTACCAGGAATCATTGGGACTAAATACTGAATACATATGTAGAGGATTGGTTTATTTAATGCCTGTTACTTTTATTTTGAGTCATGTATTTACTGACAACTGAAGCACCAGTTAAGTGCCTATGGGGATTTTGTTACACTAGGTCCTCAAATCTAATTTTTCTTGTTGGAAGCAAAATAATATTAAAAAATATTTTGGTATACTTGATCTGTACTGTGTTCTGGTGTTTTTCTCACTGTTTTCTAAATGTTTTACATGAGCTTTCAACTAAGATATGATTCCTAGCAGGAATATAAAACTTTTCAAAACTGCCTGATTTTATGACCATTCTCACGTTATTCTCTTTTTTAAAAGGCTGATCAGTTACTGTGATGTGAATCTTTTTCCCAAGAAATTTCTCAAAATTCTGAGAGCTCAAGAGTCACAGAGTTAAATAGATTTAATAAAGAGCTAAATATAAGTATATGTATATATTTTTTAACTGTTGATAGTTGTCCAGAATCATGAATTTGAGATGGGTCATATAAATTGAAATAACTTACAAAAAGTTAAAGAACCATAGAGAACAACAGAGAAGGAACTGAACTAAGAGCAGGAGATTCATTTCAGATACACATCTAGAGCATTTGCAAGTACTGTATCAAAGTATTCAACACAAGATGCTCCTAGACTGTGTTTTCGAGTTGTGGATTGGAGGCACTATTCTATGTGCTTCTAGTATAGGGGTCTTCGAACATGGCCCTTTTATGACTTGTGGACTTCAACTCCCAGAATTCCTCAGCCAATTCTGGGAATTGAAGTCCACAAGTCATAAAAGGGCCAAGTTTGAAGACCCCTGATCTGGACTCACAAAATGGCACTATCTGCTTTTCTCAAATTGTTGTATTTTATTTTCTACTTTTGACACCGCTTGCCATCTCCTAGGCCTCTATGCTTTCAGATAGTTCTCAACTTACAGTTGAAGAATTATGGTCCAAAGTCACGCTGATAGTTAAGCAGATCATCAGTAGAACTGCTGGGACATCCCTACAGTAGTGGCCAAAATTGTGGAAACCTTTTGGGAAAAGTGTACAGTAGAAATGCCACCTTTGGTTAAGTTTCCACCAATTTTTCTCCTAATTTCTTTATAACTGTAGCCTTGTTCATTTAATAATACTATTTTACATCGCTTTCTGGGCAACCAGTCAACTCTTTGCACCATTACTTTAATTTTATTATATTTTACAAGCTCACTAAATGAAAGAACACAAAAAACCCAACCAACCTGATAGCGATCACATAACACACTGACAAATGTCCTCTCAGCTTCAATACATGACATCAATAACTGAATCCTACTGTGATCTGATTGGCTGATTGCCAAAAAAAGATGACACTTGATTGGCTCTCTAAACACTCATGCTCATTGGCTACAATCAGATGAAGGAAAGCTGTCTGATATCAACCTAAGCAAGTTGTGCTTCCTTTTTCTGGTTATTTGGCTATAACTTTTCATACAATACAGTACAGGTAATTGAACAAACTTTGCTGCATTACATTCTTGATTAAATTATCTTTCCATTGATATATAATTTTATGGTACTACTCCAAATGAAAAGTGGTGTTATTAGCCATCAAACCTCAAAAATATACTTTTCCCAAAATGTTTCCACATTTTTGGCCACTACTGTATAGGTAGATATTACTTGAGTCTGATGAAGTGCTGTGTAAGTCAAAATATAGTATAGGCAATGGTAGAACAATATTAGAAATAACAAGGCAGCTTTCTCCAACTTGCTAATTCCTAAATGTGTTGGGATCAGAACTAACAGAATTCCCATTTCAGAGAAATTTCAGGAGTCCTTGTTGCAAAACACCAAGGTGGGAAAGGTTGGTCTACAAAATAGGATAAGATAAGATAACCTTTATTGTCATTTTTATACTGTGGGCACAATGGCACACATCAAAAATGAAATTTAGTTGCCCGCTCTCAAAGTGAAACACATACATGACACACACCTAAACATACTATGAACAACATATGTGTAGACCCACATCCCTACATATACGTAGCAAATAAATATTAAATATTGTCCATCTTGAATATATAACGGATGGAGGAAGCTTGAGAGTTCGCAAGGTTAATGCTGTATGGAATGAAACTCTGGCTGAATCTGGATGTTCTGCTTCGGATACCACAAAGCCTCCTATCTATTGGTTTGTCCCCCCCCCCCAAAAAAAAAACAGCAACAAAAAACAGTCCTGCTTCAGTACATGGTGAAATTAAAATTTCTTGGCACAAAAGTTGCTAACAATTTCTAAATGACAGCCGGTGATAGTCCTCACAATTGGACAACAAAAGAAGATCTCGAGACGGTTCCAACCAAATCTTTCCTGCTGATACCAAATCTTTCCCGCTGTATTACCTCTTTTTTTTTTTTTTTAAACAGCTCTAGACTAAGATGAGCCGTGCAGGCTCCTGGCCCCTCCTGCTACCTTCCTATTTGGCCTGTGTCACTTCCTTTTGAGAGCTTTCCAGCACACCCAGAGTTTTCCCTTGACGAGGCCCTCCTGGCAACAGAGCAGGCGATTGCTATAGAGACAGGCAACAGCTCAACAGAAGCCAACACAACAGTCAAAGTAAGTTCCCCGGTTCGCGAGAAAAAGCAAGCAAGCAAGCAACAATTACAGGTAGGAATTAAACATTGATGAAAAGACTCCAGCAGTCTGGTTTGAGGGGCAGAAAGTGGATTATATAGAAGGAGAGAAGGAACGGAAAGTTTCCCCCCCCCTCCAATGTATGTTCACTGGAATGGACAGAAATGAAATGAACAAAAGTTTTCTGGCATCTTAATCTTCAAGCTGTTTCAATTTTTTTTCATTTTAATTAACTAAAAGGAACTACTCGCTTGGAAACGAAAGGGCGTATAATTACAGGTAATGTCTTGAATATGATCAGGGGAGTCTTCCCAACACAGCACGCAAAGTTAGAGCACGGAGCTACGGTGGAAATAAACTTTCCTTCTCTCTTTGATATAAACATACCTCTTTGCCACATACAATTTATACTCCAGAATTAGAAGGCAGGAAGACCAATCTGCCCCTCAATTATAGATTGCTTTGTGCGATATATTTCAGATGCACGTTGTCAATCACTGATCTGAGCTAAGATGGAGATTGTTACAATAATACACTGTATGTAATTCTCATTGCGAACGCACCCCCGGACCAACCCCCAATGGTGCCGAGGAGGCACTGGAAGAGGACATTTTGCTGAAGTACCTGCTTTGATTGTTTTTGAACCAACGCTGGGACTTAGTTTATGATTGTAATAGTTTTAATTATGTCAGATGGAAGTCTCCGAGGGCTGAAGAAGAGGGAAGAAAGCAGCGTACCTGACCATCCTTTTTGCTTCATCCTTTAGATCCTTTTTTTCCATCATAGCAAATATCTGCAGCATGGAAGGAAAAGGTACTGAAAGCATTGCCAAACTCAGAGCAAAGTGCTTGGAAAGAGGAGCTTCTGGGATTAAGGGACTTGCCAGGTACAAAATATGAGATTATTCATATATTCTGGAAATAATTTCATTCGGATTATATTCAAGTGGTCCTCCCTGCCCCCCATTGCACCTATCTTTTTTCTTCCTTTTCTGAGGTTTTCTTTTTAATTGTTCTGCTTCGTTTACTCTGCTTGGCAGAGGCAGGGAACTGCAGAAAACTCCAATACACTCAGTTCCCCAATGGGAAATAGTATTCTGGCTTCTAAATTCAGGATTACTTTATCAATCATAAAGTAACTAACTTTTGTTGTTTGCCTGAAAGCCGTAAGTCATTTAGGGACATGAATTCTATAAGAAAAAGTACAGGCTGAGCTTCTCTATGAGCTTTTCCCTCTCTCTCTCTCTCTCTCTCTCTCTCTCTCTCTCTCTCTCTCTCTCTCTCTCTCTCTCTCTCTCTCTCACACACACACACACACACACACACACGGCACTCACAACCCTGTATTACATTTCATTCTTGGCAGATTTTTCCGCATCATGGATGATAACGGCAGCAAAACTTTGGATCTGGAGGAATTTGTGAAGGGCCTCCAGGAGGCTGGGGTCCCCTTGGAAAGGGGTGAGGCAGAAGAGATTTTCAGCCTCTGTGACAAAAATAAGAATGGTACCCTGGACTTCAATGAATTCCTGCAAGCCCTGAGGGTAGGTAAAATAGTTAACCACTTGTACATTCGAATTAGCAGGTTGAGCTGGCACAGAAGGCCTGAGGACATGTGAGGAAGACAAGTGGTCATTGGAAGCCATAGTTTTTCCTGTTATTTGTTCTCCTTCTCCCTTTCCCTCAGAGATATATTACCCTGTAAAACCACAGGAAAAGTTTGTGAAATATGACCAGTGACCCAACTAATGTAGCATCTGATTTTTAACTAACTGACAGTTAACTGCATTGATGGGAGATTCGGAATCCCGAAGATCAGAACTAATTCAGTGTTTTTAATCAGTGATATATTCTTCCCATATATGAAGACTCTCTTTTTGACTAATAGCTGCTAATGTACTAGTCTCATCCTTTTAACAGATATGGGGAATCCCTGGCCTAATCCTGCTTGCCATATCAGACCCAGGGCCTTGAGTGAAGTCCATATCCCTCCCTTTTTATTTAATCTTTACAAATGTGAATTGTGAGGTGTTTCTTTGGTGTAAATCAACATCTCTCTTTGTCTAGAAGACCCATGGCAGCTTAGAGGATGTTCATCTAATTTTTCAGTATGTCTCCCACATTACCAGAGGAAATCCATAAAGGCTTTCTTCCAGCACTAAAGGTCCACAGATTCTATTGAATTATTGTTGATGATCTTTGAGAAATAGGTCCACCATTAATCTGGCTAAAAAAAATAAGGGAACTCCAACATTCTTAACTTCTCATTACTTTTCTTTAGCCTCCTATGTCCAACACCAGAAAAGACATAATTGCAAAAGCATTCCAGAAACTGGACAGGACTGGTGATGGATTGGTGACGGTAGAGGATCTTCATGGGGTCTACAACAGCCGGTCCCACCCCAAGTTTAAGAGTGGACAGTGGACAGAAGATCAGGTTTTCAGCGCCTTTCTGGAGAGCTTTGACTCTCCTGATGATAAGGATGGGAAGGTAAACAGCCAGAATGATCTCTTGGTGTGGCATTCTAATAGTTGTGATTCCAAACTATTTTTATTTTATCAAACTTAGAAGGACACACGTTCAGTGGGCATTTGAAGACACCCATTTGGGGGAGGCTGATCTAAGATATACAATAAAACCTTGAATTAATAGATCATTAGATGTTTTGTGTGTTGCTTCCAAATGTCCATTAGATTTGAATTTAAATGTTGGGCCAATTTGTTCTGTTTGCAAATGACAAAAGTTGATGTAAATGATATAAATTGGACCATTTCAGAACATATGTCAGGATGCAAATTATATAAATTGGTAGCAGTGTTTTAAATATTTTGGCTGCCTTATATATGATTTTTAATTATAGTGTAACTGTTTTTAGTTGTTCTATGATTGTTCACCATCCAGTCACTTGTTTGAGATGGGCGGCTATAAAAATTGAATGAATAAATACATTTAAATGAATTGTTTGGACAATTTTGGATAAAATGGACTTGGTCCATTTTGGGAGGAGGGAGCTAGAGAAAATGTTGCCCATTGGATCAAAAATCTATGAATGGAAATCTGTTAAACCAAGATTTTACTGTATTTGCAGATATAAATCATAATTGTGCAGGACCCTTTTAGGACTCTTAAGGCAGTGCTTCCCAACCTTGGCCACTTGAAGATTTCCCCCTGCTGGCTGGGGAATTCTGGGAATTGAAGTCTACACATCTTCAAGTGTCCAAGGTTGGGAAACACGGCTTTAAAGTAGCCAAGAACAGAATGCTTGTGAATGCTGCTTTTCTTCTCATCACATCCTTTCCATGGCATTCTTTTCTTCTATTAATATGAATGACCTAATACTACAACTATTTTTGGCAATCCCAAATATTAAATTTTTAGGGTTATTTTTAACTGACAGTTTTACTGTCTTGAAGTAAAAGTATTGTTTTGTCCAAGTATTTCAAATATTGAACCATCATCATCCCCAATAAAACATGAGGTTTGGTCATTAGGGACAAACATTAAAATCTACCCCATATTTTTCTACAGATCACGCATGAGGAATTCCTGAACTACTACAGTGGAGTCAGTGCCTCTATTGATAGCGATGGCTATTTTGTCGACATGATGAAAGCTGCGTGGAAGCTGTAGTGGGAACGAGAGTTGGCATTCCCTTCTGAAGCATAGGAAACTTAGCACAACATATTCAGTACGAAATTCCTAGAACATTCTAGTGTAAAGTAGGTTTAGGACTTTGGATAATGAGAATCCAGCTTGTACATGCAGGTAAGACATATGATTGAAAAAAAGAGGTTCCTCTAAATTGCCCATAATTAAGATGCTGCAATAGAAAGCTAACTATAGCAGAAGGGACTCTGGTTTTCCTGACTTCCATCCTTTTTCTTTCTGAGTTTTCTGTTTAAGGCAAGTTTGGGCTTTTTGGAAATCACTTAAGCTATAACTTCCAACTAATGCTGGTCAAATAAAGGAGTTTAACTTCCAAGATCCCATAATGGCTGGGATTTGCTGGGAACTGTAGTTTGTCAGCTATCTGGAGAGACACAAGTTCCTAGCCCTTGTGGATTTATCAGTCTCTATACAGAAGAACATTTAACATTTTCTAACTCAATGCTATAGATTTGTCTATCAATGCAGGATTCTATATATCGACCAGAATAGTAAAAGGCTTTTATACTCTTTCCTGGACTTTCTTAGTTAAACTTTCTCCTGAATAAAAGATTCACCAACTCCAACTTGGTTGCTTGTTAATATCCAGTAGGGTGTAAAAAGTGGTACATGGTAAGGATGGAGAATTAGCAATACCATCAGCTTAAGAAGTACACCTTATGGTCAGGAATTAGAATCCCACAGATTCAGAGACTAGGTCAGTGATGGCAAACCTTTTAGAGACCGAGTGCCCAAACTGCAACCCAAAACCCACTTATGCATCGTCGGGTGCCGGGTGGGTGTGGCCCATTAGGTGGGTGTGGTAAATTGGGTGGGTGTGGCCCATTGGCTGGGCACGCTGCAGTGGTAAAGGCAGGCTGGGTGGGACTAAAAAGTTCAATCAATCAATTCCAATTTTGCAAGATCCTTTTTTCCCACAAGAAGTTGAAATTGACTGATTGATTCTTTTTTTTTTTTTTTTTGCACACGGCGGCGGAAGCCTAAAGCGAAAAAGTTCTATAAAACCCAGCTGAAGGCCTAGGACTGGGGCGACAGTGCGAGTGCCCACAGAGAGGGCTCTGAGTGCCACCTCTGGCACCCGTGCCATAGGTTCACCACCACTGGACTAGGTTATCCATCCCAAACTTAGGAGCACAAATGAAAACCCCTGGTCTTTTAAAAATTTCTAAAAGACACCACCTGACCTCTCTCACCACTGTGTGTGCTGTCGTCCCAGAACCATCCCTCTCCTTCACCCCATGAAGCAGCACAGCAGGACTTTTGTGTGTGTGTCCAAATGTACCCACTTTAATTTTTTAACTTTTTACAACTGACGGCAGAGAATGTTCTTTAATGAATAGTTTAATTAGTAATTGTAATGGGAAAGGCAGCATCCCCTGTCAATTCTTGGTAACTTAATGAATACAGAGGGCTTTTTTGCAACAGTTTGAAAGTAGTTTGCTGCTGCCTCTGCTTTTTTTTTTTTAATTTCCATTTTCCAATCTAACCAAAACTCCAGCCTTCCCTATCAAGTACAGAACCAAGCCAAATCCTGGTCAGCTTGCTATCCAACCAAGACTGACCAGGTACTACCACATGCTAACATAATTGGGAAGAAGATTCACCTAAATGAGGGATAGGCAACCTTGGTTCTTTTATGACTCATGGACTTCAACTCCCAGAATTCCTGAGCCAGTATGGCTGGCTCAGGAATTCTGGGAGTTGAAGTCCACGAGTCATAAAAGAACCAAGGTTGCCTACCCCTGACCTAACTGTATAGCATGGTGCAGACACGTTTCCCCTATGACTCCCAAACTGGAAATAGTTAAATGAAGTCAGACTGAAACAGTGTCAAACTTGTATCCTTTAGAGTGGTGGCAAAAATTGGTCAACCTGAAAGGTAAATTGTATGTTTTTTTGTAGAGCAGAGGGGCAAGCTAGCTTCATTTCCTGGTGTTTTCCTCCCAGATTTTTTTCCCCCTGAAATGAGCGATTCAGATTTTATCTTTGTGAATGTATTTGGCATGTTAATACTTAATTCCAAGGATAACATGCACAAGCCCCAAAGCTGATCTTGGTCAAGAGATGAGAACAGATAAGAACCTTTAGTCAAGCTTTTAGTCCCAATGCACCCCAAACTGACATTAGAGTTGAAGATGGGCAACAGGAGGTAAAAATTGGATTCATACATCCTATTATGCCGTACTTCATCTATAGTTTATTGAATCATCCATCACTGGATTGGTTTGTGTGCTTAGTCAAACCCAAGCAAATATCATTATAGCTTAGCTTAGCTATAACAGATTTTGGTCTGGATCCAACAAGGAATTTCATTTAACAAAAAATACTCAAGTAGTCCGGTAAAGAATACTGTTTTTATACATATTAAACTAAAGTTTGATTAATTATAATTCACTGGCTTAACACATTTAGCTTAACATTGTTTTACAGCTTAGCATGAAGCCAACTAACTTGAAACGAAACCAGTTCTGGAATATCTTCCTCTTAGAGACATTTGTCCGTTAAATGAGCTCCGAGTCTCAATTATTTTATTTCACAGTAGCCTACCTGATGACCCCAGCAAGACATGAATGCTTTAACACAACCAAGTAATTTTTAATTAACTTTTTAAAAAGCTACTGACGTTAAACAGAATGCACTTCTCAATGTTAGAAAATGCCCTTAAAAAAATCTAAGAGTAGCTCAGTAACTAAGTCTCATTTTATATCTGACACAATATAACCAGCTCTGATCCCAGTGTATTTCTAAATCCAGCTTCCTATTGGTAGAAGGGAATAGCTATTGTAACTGTTCCAAAGGAGAAATCCCAGGACACAGAAATGGCTGGCAGGAAATTGGATTTTATATAGCCTTTTTAACTTTGTTCTTAAAAGACCCCTTATTACTTAATTGCTGTTGTTCTGTTAATAGCAATATCAGTTTCAGACCAAGCCAAAAACAGAACTTGTTGCCCCGAAATGGCTGAGATACTTCTAAGAAACCCACAGAGCATAACTATTCACGAATCCTTTGTAATGGAATGTCAGTTTGATTCAGAGAAGGGGAAATGACTGCCAGGCCATTAAAAATATTTGAATCTAGTAAATTAGAAAGTGTAAGAAAGGAACGAGTAACAATGGTTTGGTTGCAGTAAGGTATAGGTTGCACTAAAGACCTTTGACAGGCTTTTAGGATTCTGTTACAATACCCAAAATACATTAATGCAGTGTTTCTCAACAGTGGCAACTTGAAGATGGATGGACTCCAACTCCTAGAATTCCCCAGCCAGCACAGAATTCTGGGAGTTGAAGTTCATCCATCTTGAAGTCGCCACGGTTGAGAAAACACTGCGTGAAAAGCACATTTCAAGATTTCTAGTAACTGTTTCCCGACCTTGCCTATCTCAAAGGGCTGACATCAGTTTTGAAAGCCTTTCAAAGTTTCAACTTCTAAACAAGGTGGAATTGTTCCGATGTTTCTTTTTCATATATTCAAGCTTTCCAGACTTGAGTATCGTTTCTGTAACAATTTGGTATTCTCTTTTTCACAAATCAAACCGACAATCAGATCCATTGCCTCATTTCTGAATTTCGTACTCTTTTTGGGAGGCACTTTCATTAATGCCCATAAGATGGCAGAGAATTCCTCGGTTAAGAGCCTTCCCACACAATCGTGCATTTCCACAAAGAAATGAAGCTATGCTCCTCTCCTCCTCGTATCATAGAATTACACAAAGCAGGACTTTTGTTACAAGTTTTTTAATGTAATTTCCAAATACATCTGATATGACAATTGTACAGAAATTTTTCCAAAACACACGGGTGTTGTCTGGGTTTGTTTTTTTTGTTTTCTTTTACTTATCACTAATTGGCTAACGGCTTGGAGAAGAAAACAACTTTATAAAGTCTTGTGTCTGGCCCAGCCAACTCTCCATCTCAGGAAAGCGCCCAAAATGCGTTTCCAGACAGTTACTGTGCAAGGAATACAGACTGTGGCTGAAACGTAGAATCTCCTTTTCTTTGCCACAGCAAATCACTCGAATCCAAACCACTGTGTCCATAAATAGCTGCCAGATTGGTTTTGTTTTGTGTTTTTTTTTTAAAAAAAAGAACTCTGTGGGTAACTGTTTAAACATTCCATTGAATATTAACATTTCTAGAGAAACCAGGCAGCCTCTTACCCTAGACCAGGGGTAGGCAACCTTGGCTCTTTTATGACTCGTGGACTTCAACTCCCAGAATTCCTGAGCCACCATAGCTGGCTCAGGAATTCTGGGAGTTGAAGTCCACGAGTCATAAAAGAGCCAAGGTTGCCTACCCCTGCCCTAGACGACTTTGGGTGCCTCCTTCAAATGCCATACACACAAATTCCACCCGGCCTTTTCACACAATCGCATCTGTACCAATGGGAGGATCCTCTGAACTCCAGCTGTTTTAACAGAGGCAAATAAAATTACACCCTCTTCCCATCTCACTCATACCTGTTATGCCAAAGTAACTTAAAAAACCAGATGTGCATCCGCTGTTCTAATTAACCTGTCTTAAAAGGGAGGGGGGGGGAGGAAGAGTGTCTTGTTAACACAAGTGGAAAATTAATTCTCCCTAAAAGCAGCACAATTGCCCAAGAGTTACAATCGTCTCAGTCTTCAGTGTTATTCAGTAGGTGGTTGGTATGTACATATCTGGTGCATTTGAGAACTGAAACGTTAAGGGGGAAAGGTTAAGTAAAAAAAAATAAAAAATCTGGTGAAGGCTGCACACATGCACGGCCATCCGCTTTCTCTCCCAGGAAGGGAAAGTGAAAAGAAACTTTTGTTAGCCTGAAGCTCTTCCAAAGTGACAAAGACAGGAGAAACGACTCAAGGGCAGACTTCTGAGACCTGATGAGAATTTCCATCCATTACACAGAGGCGGCGGTGCCTACGTTCCCCGGTTGTTTCTATGACTCAGCAACTCAAGACTCCATATTACAATGTCCTCCTTGTTTTCCAGTGGACAGGACTGAAAAAATAGGCTTCCACCCTCTTCTTGGTTTCAGGGCTCCCTTTGACAAGATGACGAGAGGCCGCCTCTTCGCTCCTCAACCACCACCATCAGGCGGAATCGGACTGTGCCTTGTCCCAACTCTGTTGTTACCATCTTCATTGCAAGTGGCTCAAATCTGGGAGTCCAACCGAGTCGTGTTCCTATCAAGACCAAGAGGGGAATAAAAAGGCCACCCATTCTTCGATGGAGCTGGTGAAAAACCTCCTGTTCTGATAGATGTGCCACTCCGCAGAGTCCTCAACAGGAAGTCGCCAAAGCATTCCAAGTCTTTATGGCCTTTGCCCAAAGAGGTCGCAGCCCAACTTACACATCACACTCCATCTAAATGCCAGAAACAATCCTTTTAACGTGATCTTCTTTGAAGAGCTTTCCCAATTCAACAAAACCCTCTCTGGACACACCTCAATCAAACAAACCCACAGAGCCAGTGGCAGCCCAGGTTGATACTTAGGTAACTTGTATTTAGGCACAAACTGAAGATGCTTGCTGACCAAGAGAAAGTGCCCAAAGCAATACCTATTCGTTTAGTAATTGGCCAAGATTGGAAGAGCAGCTCCCCCCCCCTTCAGGAAAATGAGGCAGTTGTTTCCTAATCAGCTGTTAAGCACCTTGGCAAGGCAAGAAGGAAATAAAAGGTTATTTGAAAGGATTAAAAACAACCTGGTATATGAATACCTGTTATATATCTACACATGTGTGCCTGTGTCAGGATGTCTATTTACACAGTGGCTTCACTCTCCTTTAAATAGTAACAGAAACGTAACAGTACAAACAAAACAGAAGGGGCCCACTTGGTCAACACACAAGAGTATCTTATTAAAATCTTTTAAAAAAAAAAAGTTATCGCCACATTTGAAGTCCCAAAATGACAACAATAATGATAACCAGAGAAAGGAAGGATTTGTTAGCAAAAAAACAAGAATAATTAAAAAAAAAAAAAAAAAAAAAAAAAAACACCCCCTTTCCCACTCCAGAGCTTGAAGGGTTTCCACCCCATCCGCAAACTCAGCAAAAGTCTTATTGTGTTGTTTTTAACTTCCAAGAGGAAAAAAAAAATTCCCAAAGAGATGCTCCCTCAGACAAGCCATACTATTGTCTGTGAAGTTTCCAATGGGGCAAAAATTGTGATCTGTTTTTTTTTTTTAAAAAAGAAAACGTCTTCCAGTTGAAATCCGACTTTTCTTCAGAAATGGTGGGAGAGGCAGAAACCAAAGTGGGTGATGGGGATTTTAGGCAAGAAGAGACTGTTTTGGAAGGGTCCACGGCAGAGGCCATCGAGCTACTGGAGTTGGGGGACGGAGGAAGAATGCGTGTGGCAAGACAAAGAGGTGCCACGGGCAAGCTATGGCAAGTCTCCGTGTGCCTGCCCCCTACAATGAATCACAAGTTGGGGGGGGGAGAGAAATGGTACACTTTTTCTCCCTGCTCATCAATATGATGAGCAATAAAATGTCCCAAAACCACATTCAGCCAGTTTTGTCCAAAGTCTGCTGTGTTTTGTTTTTAATATGGAATCAACTGATCCAGCCCCCCTGAAAAAAATTCAACACACACACAGAGAAAAAAAAAACCCAGAACAAGGATGCAGAGTTCTTAAATCTCAGAGCCTCTGTTGCTGTCCAGAGCAAAAGATGGCCCGGGGCATGAGTCTCACAAAGGGCCCTGCGAAAGGGGGTTTCTGGCAGCTGCTCTTCCAAGTGGTCTGGATCGTGGCCGCTATGTACTGCTGGTTGTTTGCCCATCCACTTCATCAGTGGGACCTGCAATATGAAACAGGGAGGTTCATGTTCAAAGCAGGATGGTAGAACCGTTGCTTATTCGCAACGGGAATCAATTTCCTCTGTTAGTCCAGGCGGTTTTCATTTCCATTTTACTAGTTCATTCTTGATTAAGCAATTTATAGTCTACCCTTTCAATATTAAATCCCAATTAAAAAAAACATAATGTATTTTTTAAAATACTAATTTAAGCAAGTCAGATTAACCAGTCCGGTGCACTGATCTGCAAAGAGTTCAAGAAGAAACTCCAAACCATTAACTTTCCAAATCGCTGTTACCCTGCCCGGTATGTACACTAATAGGACATTCCGCTCCCAGACCTATTGGGAAAACACTAGAATATATACAAGGCTGCAATGGATTTAAACCAACACCTAAGGTTGTTTTAAAATCTCTTTACCTTTTGTTCTTAAATGTAAAGAAATACATTTAAATAACCTCTGAATAAACTCCATCCTTACAATACCTAAGCTCAATAATGTGAAACTGGAATAAAAAATAATGTCTTCCCATGATTAGCTTTGTTTCCATTCCCATGTCTTGAGTCAAAATCGGGTCTGCAGGTTCTCGAGAACAGAGGTCAACCAGGATGATAACATCCTGCAAATTGTTATTCATGGTTGAGACATGCTTTGGGTATTTCATCAGGGAAATTCCAGACGATCCCAAGACCGGAGGTATCCCCATCCATTGTTCTGAACAGAATACAGGTAGCTCTCAACTTACAACTATTAGTGACTGTTCGAAGTTACACTAGTACTGAAAAAAGTGACTTATGACCGTTTTTCATACTTCTGAGCATTGCAGCATCCCCCCCCCATGGTCACATGATCAAAATCCAGACACTTGGCAACTGACTCACATTTATGACGGATGCATTGTCTCAGGGTCTACGATCAGCTTTTGTAACCTTCCGACAAGCAAAGTCAGAGGGGTAGCCAGGTTCACTTAACAACTGCAGAGACTCATTTAACAACGGTGGGAAGAAAAGCGGCAAAATGGGGCTAAACTCACTTAACTGTCTTGCTTAGCAACGGAAACTTTGGGCTCAACCGTGGCGATAATTCGAGGACTACCTATATCTCCGGAATCTGCTTACCGCTTCCAGGTGATCCCGAAGGGGCGAGAACGTCATCATCGCTGTCTTCCTCATTGGATTGTGTCACTTCGGGCACTGGTGCTGCACTTTTGGCTTCTTGCTCTTGCTCTACACGACTCCGCAAAGCCAGGATCCGATGGTGCAAAGCTGCATATAGCTGTCCCGTGTCTTTAGAACTTGCCTAAAGTTTGGAGAGAATCGGTTAACTTTCTCATTAAAAGGGTTGCAAACTGACAAGTAACCTGTCCAAATAGGTAAAGGTTTCCCCTGTCCAGTTGTGTTGGTCTCTAGAGGGCGGTGCTCATCTCCTTTTCTTAGCAGAGGGAGCCAGCGTTGTCTGAAGACAATTTCCATAGTCAGATGGCCAGCATGGCTATACACCAAAGGCAAATGGAGTATAATTACCTTCCCACCGAAGTGGCACTTCTTAATCTACTCGCATTTGCCTGCTTTCAAACTGCTAGGTGGGCGGGAGCTGGGGCAGGGACGGGAGCTCACCCCGTCCACTGTGCCGGGTCTTGAACCTGGGCTGTCACTCTTGCAGCTGACAAGCTCAGCGTCTTTAATGGCTGGGCCATTGCACCCTCTTTGTCCAAGTATGTTTAGCCAAAAATATGATCTGCCTGCTAAGGAACTCAATGCTGACGTCTGTGATTCAAAAGCACGGCTTCGTGAGGCCACTCACGAAGAAGAATGTGCTAGACAGCATTCCAGTAAATGGATAATTATGATGAATCATAACCTCTAGTTGCAAGTAAGATACAAGACTTCCCATAATGTCCTCTCAAATATATCCACTGACTCAATCCGTGGCCTTACCAATATAAGGAACACTTTGACTCCTTGGTCTTCCGTGTCCATGGCTGTGATTCGGATGCTTTTCTCACTGGCTTTATCAATTTGCATCTGAGCCCACAGTTTGGTGTTCAGGATTAATCGCAGGCTGCCTTGTGTTCTCATTACTAGTTCAAAGTGCCACAGAGATGAAAGACACATGGTCAACTATTTTTTGTTAATGTCTGCATTCAAAAACAATAACTACAGTATTCATATAAATCCAAACCCATCAATCCAGATACCTTTGGAGTACAACCCCCTGAATTGGCAATTCTTACAGCAGGAAGATGAATTCCCACAACCCCAAGGAAGCAAGGACATTTGGAAGATCGTTCAGGACATAGTACTAAACTTGACGGATTCCTTCTTCTTAGCTTCAATTAAGTCAAGCGTCCATCCTAAAGGTGGTTTGTGTGTATTCAAAAGCGTATGATGCTGTGTCTCTACCAAAGTCAACCCCATGCCATCACAAGTACTTCATTTTGAAAATCATTGGGGCAGGCAAAGGTCACAGGTAAAATGTTACAGAGGGATTTTGCAGTGAGTTGAATAATAATGCAGAATGGGCAGGTTAAGGTACCCGGATCAGAATTACTTTTTCAAATATTCTGGAGGAGTGATGCTTTTAAGTGTGCTATATTTTACCTCACCGATGTTTCTCAACCTCAGCAACTTTTAAGATGTGTGGGCTGGGAGTTGAAGTCCACACACCTTAAAGTTGTTGAGATTGAGAAACATTGACTTATTTATGCTTTAATCACTATTTTTACTTCTGATCTTAAACTAACAGTCATTGGACTAAATTAGGCTGGCAAAAAGGATAATAATAATAATAACAACAACAACAACAACAACAATAATAATAATAGTAATAATAAAAAAGTTGGAAGGGACCTTGGAGGTCATCAAGTCCAACCCCCTGCTCAGGGAGGTAACCCTATACCATTTCAGACAAATGGCTGTCCAGTCTCTTCTTAAAAACTTCCAGTGTTGGAGCATTCACAGCTTCTGGAGGCAGATTGTTCCACTGGAACATGTAACTGTCAGGAAGTTTCTCCTTAGTTCTAGGTTGCTTCTCTCCTTGATTAGTTTCCATCCGTTGATTCTTGTCCTGCCTTCAGGCGCTTTGGAAAATAGCTTGACTCCCTCTTCTTTGTGGCAGCCCCTGAGATACTGGAACACGGCTATCATGTCCCCCCTCGTCCTTCTCTTCATTAAACTAGACATACCCAATTCCATCAACCTTTCCTTATATGTTTTATACTACATAGCTCTCTCAGAATGGCAGGAAATCATCCTGATATTGTTCAACAATCACAGTCAGTTTCACGTATTCTTATATAATTTACGTTGCGGAAAGCTGATTTTCCCCCATGTCCTCTTTATTCCTTTTACAAGACCGGTATCTTAAAAATGCTTGACTATTAGAATGTGGATAAACACATTGTCTACCAACAAGCCTTAATCACAGGGGCACCTGATGCCACAGGCTACCCTTGCAGCTACAAATGTCTATTTGGGTATGCATATCCATAGCAACTGGGTGGCCTGGAAAGGGATCCAGGACTACATTGGATCCAACTGCAATCTAGGTTCCTGCAGTGGTTGGTTGGTTGGTTGGTTAGGTTTCTGGAGTCTTTTCCTCTTACCCAGCCGTGACTGCAATGTCCCATCATCTGTAGATGCCATGTCATTCAGCCTCAGAAGCCCTCGGCCTCTTTCCACCCAGGACTGGGAGCTCTTATCAAAGACAAACAACTTGCATTGAATCTGTAACAGAAACATTAGCTGGAGAACTTTAACGAAGGCAGCAAACGAGGAGATCACAAACCCCAAAGCCTCCAATGCATTTGAAAAATGGGTTTTCATGGTCTCCCCAAATTCAAAAGTATTATTTCTCCACAGCAAGAAATATGGAAGTGCTTTCCATAACCCCTCTCATCTATATTACCAGATAAAGTAGCATTTAAAGCGGGCAAAATCAAGGAGATAAATCAAATAGAAATTGTAAACTAGGATGGTACTTCTACATTCCAAGGTAGTTACCAACAAATACTAGAGGCACTAAAGAGGAAATTTTTTTAGAAGCAACAGGCTTCATAGAACAGAATTCTGAATAATCTCAGCTTTTGGTCTCATCCAGCAGGATTGATTATTGATATTGTTCACATGACTCTGTCAAGCCTCAGTGGACCTATCTAAATGGAGCCTCTGTATATGGTCAGCTTACAGCAATGTTTCTCAACCTCAGCAACTTTAAGATGTGAAGAATTATGGAAACTGAAGTTCCCCACATCTTAAAGTTGCTGAGGTTGAGAAGCATTATAACTCTGCTAAGTCACAATTTGCTTACTCATGATTTATGGATAAACAAACAAAAAAAAAGCAACGCATATTACAGCTGAGAGTGGTGTGAACCTCAGACATAAACAAGGAGAGGAACACAACTTCACACCCCCGCTTGGGAGTTCTCCAGAAACAACTGCAAACCGAAGGCTGGAATAGATAGGTGGGTCTTGGTCTGATTCAACACAGATGTACTGGGATGGGTCTCCTTGCATAAAGCATCTAACTGCCCACTGTTGTAGAGCAGAGCAGAGCAGAGCAGCTCTGTTACATGGATGTGGAGCTGAAGTACCAACATCAAGGCTGGAAAAAGGAGGATCCTTTTTCCGTTGGCCCAAGGAGCAAGAGGGCAAGATTTAGTATTTAAATCATGGGGTTGTACAGGTAGTCCTCGACTTATAACCATTTGTTTGGTGACCGTTTGAACTTACAACGGCACTGAAAAAAGTGACTTCTGACCGTTTTTCACGCGGCCGATGCAGCATCCCCATGATTATGTGATTAAAATTCAGACACTTGGCAACTGGCTCCTATTTATCACGGTTGCAGTGTCCCCAGGGTTCTGTGATCTCCTTTTGCAACCTTCTGACAAACCAAGTTAATGGGGAAGCCAGATTCACTTAACGACCGTGTTACTAAAGTAACGACGGCAACGATTGGCTTAACAACTGTGACAAGAAAGGTTGTAATGTGGGGCAAAACTCACTTAACAACTGCCTCACTTAGCAACAGAAATTTTGGGCCCAGTCGTAAGTTAAGGACTACCTGTATTCCGTACCAAGCAGATTTTTAACATGCAGAAGGTTTGAAAGAAAAAAAAACTAACTATATTAAGCCCCTGAAGTTTTTGCCAGATTTAAGGTTGTGCCTGTTCTGAAGATTGGCTGAGAGAAGGTGCTCCGGGCTTGTACTTGTAACCCTCCCCCCCAAGTGTGTGTGAACAGGTTTTCTCCACAGCATACACCCACCCTCCTGGCAAGCAACACAAAGTGAAACAAACATCCTGGGAGTTGCCCAAGCTGAGCGCTGACTTCTGCGGGTCCTACTCACCTGTAGCACATTACTCTCAGCTTCCTCTCCTGTGATTACTTCTACCTTCTCCAGGAGACATTTCCTGGCCGTTGCTTTTGTATATGCTGCGGCGGACTCAGCGAGCGATTCTGAAATATTGTTGGCTGGAAAAGAAATGGAAGAAGGTTAATATGCGGGAAGCCTTGACTTCCAAACCGTTTGTGCATTTCCACATATTGCACAATTTTGTTTTAAGAGATGAAAATAAACATAGTGTGATCAATCGTGAGGAAAAAAAAGTATTATGACTGTGGGCACATCTTTCATATTGGAAGTTCTCATTTAGCGACCCAGTTGCTTAGTGACCAAAGTCACAATGGATCTCCCCAAAGCTACTTATGACCCAGTTCCAACAGCTACCTCCCCCAATCATGTGATTACATTTTGGGTACTTGGCAACCAACTAGCACAGTGATGGCAAACCTTTTAGAGACCGAGTGCCCAAACTGCAACCCAAAACCCACTTGTGTATCGCCGGGTGGGCGTGACCTATTGGGTGGGTGTGGTCAATTGAATGGGCATGGTCAATTGGGTGGGCGTGGCTGCGGTGGTAATGGCAGACTGGGTGGGACTAAAAAGTTCAATCAATCAATTCCAACTTTGTAAGATCTTTTTTTCCCACAAGAAGTTGAAATTGATTGATTGATTGATTGAACATTGGGGGTTTTTTGCACACGGTGGAGGCCTAAAGCGAAAAGGTTTTATAAAACTCAGCTGAAGGCCTAGGACTGGGGCGACGGCACGTGTACCCACAGAGAGGGCTTTGCGTGCCACAGGTTCGCCACCACGGAACTAGCATATACAACCATTTGCAGCATCCTCTGATCTCATGTCTGCAATTTAGACATTTTTGCCAGTTTTCCATATTTACTTCCGGTTTTGAGCAAAAAAATACCCATCGAATAAAATAGGTTTCCTTAATGACTGAGGCAAAAAAAGTTATAAAACCCGATGCAGTCACATGGTGATCAACTTAACAACTGGCACAACTTATGACTATAAATTCTGGGCTCAATTACAGCCGTAAGTTGAGAACTACCTGTATCGTTTCATGCATAGCTTGGATGTATAGAAGATACAAAAATACCCACAAAGTAACTTTTCGCTATGAAATTTAGTTACCAAATTTGTTATACTATAAAAATAAACCAATATTCTGTTTAAAATGAATTTAATGCAGCAAAAAGAATTACAGAGCAACAACTAACCTACCTACCCAACCCACACCCTGCCCCCCAGCAACAGAAATAGCTTCAATAAAACTGCTGTATGAGCACCAAAACTAATCAGTCTATTGCTGGGATGGTAAATATCCATGACATATTCTAGCCCAGGAATCCAACTTGTGTAACAAAAAAAAAGGGTCTCTAAATTATTTATAATTATAAATTTAATTATAAATTTGGATATTTTAACATACCCAGAATACATTTACTGAAATAGTAAAGTAACAATTTCTATCATTTCTAAAAACAAAAAGGAGACCTTGTCAGTGCAAGTTACTCACGTTCTGAATCTGATATAGCAGTGGTGGCGAACCTATGGCACGCATGCCAGAGGCGGCACTCGGAGCCCTGTGGGCACACGTGCGATTGCCCCAGCCCCGCCTCCCCCCGCAGCCCCCTCCTCACCAGCAGCCCCCCCCGAGGAGAGTCTCCCCCAAGCACGGCCCTGTTGTGGCTCCGTCCGGTGGGTCCCTCTCATCAGAGGAGGAAGGCTCTGAACATGAAGGAGAGGGGATGGCTAGGCCTCCCTCTCCAGGCCCTTCCCCTCTGGTGCAGCCTTCGGTGCCTTCCGACAGCGAGGAGTTTGGCCAGGAGCCCGGTGTTTCTGGGATTGGCCAGGAGCCAGGTGCTTCTGGGATCAGCCAGGAGCCAGGTGTATCGGACTCCGACGAGGATACGTCTTGGCTGGATCCACGCCAGCGTCGGAAGC